CTGCCTATTTATTATCATTACTGTGCAATAGCATTTTACCACATTTAACATTATCTGAAATATGTTCCAAATTTCATTTGTTTCACATGAGAAATATATATATATTTATACATATATATAAATATCATTTTATATCATATATATATATATCATTTTATGAAAAGAAATGTAAGAAAAACAACAAAAAAGCACTCCACCCAACAACAGCAGTGTATATATTCTTCTCAAGTATGCATGAAACATATCTTCAAGGTTGACCATACCCTGGGTTACAAAACAAATACTACAGATTTTAAAAAATTGAAATTTTACAAGTATATTCTATGAGCATAAAATAATTAAATTAAAAATGAGCAGAAAAATAACAAGCATATTTTCAGTAATCAGTATTTCAAAAGGAAGTTTAAGGGAAATTTCAAAATATATTTAAATGAACAAAAATAAAAATTTTAAAACTTTTTATTTCAAGCAGTTCATATAATGAAATCATTCTAATCTTCTATCATTCAGTGCTGGTAAAAATAAAGAACAAAAGGCCTCAAATCAATAATCTAAGCCTTTACCTTAAGAGACTGAAAAAAAAAGGAACAAACTAAAGAATAAATTTCTTACTGTAACCATGGAGTTATCTTTATGTAATTGCTTTTCTATCAACTTTTACTACTATATTCAGAAACCCTGTTATTAGGCGCATAAAACATTTTGTTGTGTCCTCTTGATGACTTGATCTCTCTATCATGAAATGAACTTCTATGAGAGTGGAGCCTTAAATATTATAATTTTTGTCAATGAAGAAATTGAATCTTGTTTGTTTTTCCATTAAATGTCATCACACAGTTTCCTTTTTTACTTAAAAGCAGGCAGAAGACTGAAATGGCTGTGTTCACTAGTGTGGTTTGGCAAATATTTCTGATGATGTTCCTTCTGGATCCTATAGGATAGCATATCCCTTATGCTGTGTGACTACTTCTGACCAATGAGTTGTAAGCAGAAAGCATTATGTCATTTTAGAGGCAAACCACTTCATTACCAGTTCGAGACCCATCAGCCTTCTCATTTACCTCTGGCATAATGACTGACAGGTCAAAAAGTTGCTGTTTGCACTGACTACAGTGAGCAGAGATTTTCTTGCCAATCAGTGGTGAACATGCAGAAGAATTAAAAAACAGAATATTTGTTGTTTTGAGCCATTGGGATCTGGCATTGGTTATGAATACAACATAACATCCTCACTGATACACTTAATATAAGTAGATAAGAAAAAACTCAGTAAACAAAAAATAAAGCTGTATGTTAGATAAGTTAACAAAATGACCTAAGGACTGAAATATGAAAGTACTTCCAACCAAACATTTTACTCAAATCTTGCAATACAAGAGTTTGATTTTTTAAAATGTGGGTTTTGGCATTGTATTTAATACTAAATTTCAGCCTTAGACATCGAGGAAAAATGTTTAGGTGATGGTAAGACCAATACAAAGGTCTTAACAACCTCAAATGCAAGTTTGCCTAAATGCCTGCAGTATAAATGTTGATATTGTATTATGAATGATAAAATATCTCTTTTAGAGAAAAAAATATATATCACAAGTATGGCACTTCTTTTATATATCTGTAATTAAAATGAACTTTAGGCCTATTCCTATTGCTAAAAGAACCACTTATTTTTGTGTGTGAAACCAATGACATTATAATGATAAATTAGCTATAAAAAGAATGACAGTTAAGTATGTTTAAAATTAGCAATGCTGTTAAACTAAAAATATTTTAAATTTTTCATTTTAATAAATGACAATAGAGAATGTCAGAAAATGTGTATGGATTGTTTTGGGAAAACAGAAGAGTATGAGAAATTTCCTATTGAAGTTTATTTTCATTATTGTCAATGGTTTAGAAGAATGTTTTCAGACTAATTTGTAGGTTTTTTGTCAGCTTTTAAAATGCCTTCATGATTTGTCATTTCTCTCAAGTAACTTGAGAATGTAAACTATTTCTTTTGTCTCTCTGATTCATTTAAAATTTGAAGAAGTGGTGTTTTTTTTAAATTCATTTAGATAAACTGTTGCTTAACAAAGAGATGTCCTCATCTCTGAGCCATTCCTAAACTCTTAAGTTAATTTTATGCAAATGTTTATTTTAAAATAATACAGCAGTATTAAATACAATAATTACTGGCATTTTCATTCATATTTTTGTAAACTTAATGCAGCAAATGTTTTGATGTCTCTATTTCCTCATTGTAATTTTGCTACATATCTGTAACCATAAACATATAAATTGTTCTTTATTTTACTTATTTCTTTAACAGAGTTCCATATCGTTACATTGTCTTCATATTTAACAAACTTCCATTCTCAACCTGTCTTGAGATTAAACCTGAAATAGACAGTTTGCAGGTTCTTAATAAAGCCCTGGATATGCTTCAATATTCCTAGCAATGCTGAGATGCAGCCATCTGGACCGCAACCTCCTGATCCCAATGGCTGAGTTTGGGAGTGATTTCAACATCCTTGAGAGCAGGTTAACACTAAAATGATGTAATATAATTCAGTCAGATTAAACACTGTCACAAGGTGGTTGGTTTTCCTTTGAGTAATCAGATCAGCACCCTCCATTTTTTTTTGCCAGAACTATTACAGTTGCTCTTCTGCCCCGAGTCTCTGCTGTCTTCAATGTATTGTCTGCCTGTTGCCGGGGGGAACGTGTAAACACAGTTCTGTCTTTCTCATCATTGACAATTTGTGAGAAACTTCATACTGACTACAGGCTAATGTCCAAATTCCTTAGAATCATTTTCAGGATCCTGCATGATCTGTTCTCGACATACAGACTCATCTATAAAGACGCCTCTGATTCTTTCAGACAAAGGTAGTCATACTTCCTTCCAGCTCTCACTGCCTCTGGGCCATCTGTTATGTCACTTGTCTGATTTGATTCTGATAATTTTATGTATCTGTCCATGGGTCTGTGAATCCTTAAGGCAAGAAACCCTCACCCCTGAGGCACACAACTCAGTCACTGACACCCTTGGAACCCACCGGAACTCTACAACCTGGGCCCAGGCCACTGACTCCTTTGCAGGACTTGAGATCCGCAGGCTGGCGCTATTGCTTTTCCCCAAGTTGATGGTGCATGGAGGGGAGTGCTCCACCCAAGAAAGATGGTGTCTGCAGTGTGAGAGAGGCACTCAGCTCAGGTGCCCTGGTGGCTGCCATTCAGCTCTCTCCCTGGAGCCACACACCTCAGTCTCTCCTCACATGACTCTAGCCTGCTCCACTCTCCCTCCACCAGCACCCAGGGTGATTGCCTGCCAATGAGATTTGGGGTGTTGGCCCTTTAAGAGGGTGCCCCAGTTTCTTGCAGACTCTAATCTCTCCCTGGCATACAGAACCCCTCTGATTTCACAGCCAGTCATTATGTGGGTACCTCTTTCTGGTTCTGGTGCTCTGGGCTAGGGAGCCCAGCATGGGGTTGAGATCTTGCTCCTCAGGGCAACTTATGTAGCTGAGACATCCCTCTGGATTCTCAGCTGCTGCCTGTGGGAGGGGCCAGCCCTATTCCTGTCTCCACCTTTCCTTTCAGTCTCCATGTGCCGCCTCCTGTAAATTCTTGGTTATACGATTTCTGTTTCAGGTAGTCTTTGGTTGGTTATTCAGGTTGGTGGTTCTATATTTTAGTTGTAATTCCAGTTTGGTCCTGGGAGGAGGTGAGTGTAACGTGCACCTACGCTGCCGCTATCTTGGATCAATCACCTCCCTTTGTTTGGATCTAAATGTAATCTTATTATGTGGTTGTATCAGTGTATAATAATTGGATATTAAATGTTCATTGATTTCATTTTAATACTGTGTTTTCCCCTGTACAGCCTTATATATTACCTAGCTGCTGAAACATGCCACAACCAAAACTGATTAAGCATAATTATTAAAGAAGGTGAATTTTGAAATTTTGTAGGAAATCCATGTAAAGGTTAATCACAATTTTAATGCATAAAATTTACCCTTCAACCTGGTTAAAAACTTAAAAATATATGCTAAGGAAAAGAAGGTAGATCCAAAAGACTACATATTATATGAATCAATTTATATGAAATATACAGAATAGGTAAATCCATAGAGACAGAAAGCAGGTTAGTAGTTGCCAGGAACTGGTGGGAGGGGAGAATGGAGAGAGCAGTGGATACGGGGTTTCCTTTTGGAGTGACGAAAATGTTCTGGAATTAGTGATGATTGTTGCATAACATTGTGAATTTACTGTTACTAATAGTAATTTTATGTTACGTGTATTTAACCACAATAAAATATGCTATTACTTAGTAAGCAGTCAATAAATATTAGTTATCACTACTAAAAAAAAACCCCCAAAATTTACCCTTATTAATATTTTTTTAAGTTCACAAGAACACATTTTTAATATAATTCTTGCCTGGTAATTGAGGATACAAAAAAGGATACATAATTATTTTATTAGGAATGATTGTGAGCCCTGGCTTGTGTGGCTCAGTTGGTTGGGCATAATCCTATGTACTGAGGGGTTGCCAGTTCGATTACTGGTCAGGGCAATGCCCCGGTTGTGGGCTTGACCCCAGGTGGGGGTTGGGCAGGAGGCAACCACTTGATGTTTCACTCTCACACATCAGTTTTTTTCTCCATTCTTCTCCCTTCCTCTCTCTAAAAATCAATAAAATTCTTTAAAAAAAAAAAGAATGAGTGAGAAAAGGAATTAATAATGGATTCCATGAATAAGCAGAGTAACTGTTAAGATGTACAAGCTCTGGCTGGAAAAGTATTAGACAAGGTCTAGTTTTCAAATCCTTTTGATAATGTAATATGTAAATAGCAATAGTAACTGTTAAGATGTACAAGCTCTGGCTGGAAAAGTAAGTATTAGACAAGGTCTAGTTTTCAAATCCTTCTGATAACGTAATATGTAAATAGCAATCTGTAATATATTATAGTTTTGCATTTGACCTAGCTTTTTTGTCCCTTTATTATCTCCAGTTGTAAGCACAAGCTGTACCTGGAAATACTGCCAAACACCAGCATCATTATCCCATTTCATAATGAAGGTTGGACTTCACTCCTGCGTACCATACACAGTATAATTAACCGAACCCCGGAGAGTCTGATAGCAGAAATCATTCTAGTAGATGACTTCAGTGATAGAGGTAAGAGACAGTTTCAATATTTTATCTGATTATGTTATTCATCTCCTAGATAAACATGATAGACTTAAAATAGACAGAAGGTTATTGTAATGTTTCTTTTTGATTCTCTCTGAAAAGTGATTATGAAGTTTTGTCTATGTTGTGATTTCATAAAATGTTGGCCAAATACAAAATAAACAGAATGAGAAATTATTGTTGTCATTTGGGGAAGTATAAAAAAATCTGCATGACATTCCTGTTGTAAATTAGACAGGTGTTAGCAAATGTCTCAAATTTTACTTTCAGCTTCAGGACAAACACTGCAAAATATTCATGGTGAGTACTTATGAATAGTGAAATATTTCAGTAAAACTATAAAATCTGTTTCTGTTTCTGAAAATTATCTACTCTATTATTTATAAGTATGATACATTCTCCGGGTTATGCTTATGTTACTTCATAAATACTAAAAATTATAGTGAGACACAAATATTTTCTTTGGCAATTCTAGCTATTTTGTCATATCTGAAAAATAATAAAACAAATCTGGCTTAACAGTGTATTAGCAAATTTGATGTAAGTTTTAATAATTTAGCATTCTGATAAACAATTGGTTTTATAAGACAGGGGGATAAAAGATAGAAACTTTCCTGAGATTAGGCTTTAACAATTATATTTGGTCTAAATGAGGAAGTAGTTGATACTGCAGAGAAAACAAATTTTATCTTTATCTTTCTTGCTGGTGTGAGTGAAGAGGAGGAAACCTTTTCTAATGATATTCATCTATTTGAGTGTATAATTTTCTACCTTATTGCATGAAAGAGCTCTGCTTAAAATGCTGTACAACTGTAAGAAAGAGTGATAGTAAAATAGTTTGATTGCATATTATTCTTATGCCTCACAAGAGAATACATCTTGAAATCATATGGGTTAATTGAAGTTTTGAAATTTTATTTGGATCAAAAAACACCATTTTCTTTATAGTATCCAAAAATTATGTAAAAGTAAAACTGCTTAGTATGTTAGTTTTCAGGTTTCTTTAAGAGAGTTCTAGTCTTCAGTGATTCACTTCAAATACTGACTCAGGATCTTCCTAATATTAACATTGGAGGACAACAATAAAGTTGTCTAACATCATTCCATTAAAATAGTAAACTACCAACTTGGTGATTTACGCTGATTTTAAAGCAGGTTTTGCCTTGCCTTGCTTTGAAAGATGTGCATTCAATACTACCTAAGAGCATAGCCCAGTATCTAAACTTGAAATTTATTATTTAAAATTTTATTTATGTAACATTGATTTCTTTTTTATTCTAATTGAGGCTATTTATTTCAAAACAGTCATTCTTGTCTCAGACTAAAAATAGGCATTTAATGTGTGAAAGCTAAAACTTTGCTTTTCTATAAAGGAATGGACAAGGGAATAGATATCTCAGGCTGCACACTCCAAACAACTGGTCTTTTTGGGTTGACTGGTACTCAGAGAAATCAGACGGTGTATCTGTCGAGAATTTTCTACATAATTAACTTTGTCTTGGTAAACTATTTATTGCAGCAGAATTTTGACCTGGAGGTAACAGTAGGAAACACTTGGTAACAGGAAATTGTGGTTTGTACATTTTTTGCTGAATATTTCTCAGAGGTATTTTTTTATTGAAAGTCTTTAAAGAGATAGAAAATAGTGGCATCTACCTTTGTCTTGACTTCAAATAACTGTCATCTTCTGTACAGTAGTAATTCTGATGGACTATCCTGCAGGTAATGTTACCTGGGAAGTGAGTTCCAGAAGATTTCAATGTAATTACTGTTAGTAAAGTAACAGAAAAAGGATTATTTGGGATACTTATGGTGATTCTGACTTCCTTATTGAACATTTAAAAGAATAATAATAATATTAATGCTTTGGTAAATCATAGATATTCTATTCCTATGAACTCTCAAGTTGAAAGTATTGCTTTATGATCATTAAATTTTCAAAAGGTTAAATTATTTGCATATTGCATTTCATTATGTGAATGTATCAATATGTGTAAAAGTAAACTTTGCAAGAAATATTTTATGGAAGTACTTCTGTTATCTTTTAGAATACATTGTAATTCCAAAGTTGCATGGATTAGGAGAGACTCTTCGTCCAAATTTATATCTCAGATTACAAAATCTCAACTGATAAAATACTAGGATTTGGGTAGACCTAAAAGATATCACCCTGCTTTCTAAATAATTTGAAATATAAAACATTAATAAACACAGGTTAGAATCTCATCACCAGTTATTATGACACCGGGTAAATTAACTAACTTCCCTAAGTCTCAGACTTTTCTTTTATCAACATAGGGATAAGTAACTTTAGTTATGTAAATAGCTCCTCATGGCAAGGTTTTGATGGAGAGCTATCTTGGATGGTTTAGTGAACTATGCACTACAGAGGAGAGTAGTTGCTCTCAATTACTGATTTCTACTCACCAAATACTTCCCTGCTACTATAATATGGACATTCTCCATACTGAGGAGATCCTCTCAATTTATCAGATCTAGTCCACAATAATCTATCTATCTATCTATCTATCTATCCATTCATCCACCTATCTACCTATTATCTCCAGATGCAACAGAAGTCAGAGGGCACGTGAAGACAAATTTTGGTAATGTGCACCATGTTGGAAAAATCAGAACTGCATTAACATTTTAAAAACCTCTAAACTTATAAATAACTTGGTAATTTACTACATATTTTAAAGAAAAATTAAATTCTAGACTTTCATCAAAAGGAGAATAAATAGAACCTACCTAAAATTATATGAGTGGTCTTACATGAGTGTTGATTAAAATTCCTTACAAGTTTATATTCACTCTTAGGAGGAAACTGTCTTACAGCATCTCTTTTTACAGGGCCTCTAAGACAGAATGTTTTTCTGCTCCTTTTAATTTTAATATTACCTATAGCCATGAAGTTAAAAGTTATTCTACTTTATATTGTAAAGTATGTTTATGCTTTTTTGTGACAACTCAGAAATCATAATCTTCTAATATATAAATGTTACATTTTATATTTATTTTTAGAAATATATTCCAATTCCAAGTCCGCATTAGAAGTTCAGTATGCATCCAATATCTTTGCACTATAGCTCTCCTGGTTATTCTGAAATATTCTTTGGCCAAGGGCAATAAAATTTTGACAAGATTTATTCAGATATTGCTGCCTTATTGTTTATGTCCTCCAGGTCAATAGAGTAGCTATACATAAAAAGAACCCCAAAAACCAAAACAAAACACACACACACACACACACACACACACACACACACACACACACACAATGAATAAAAGGAAAGTAAACGTATTAGCCATATTAATAACATAAGGTTAATACCACTTAAAATTGCTAGTTCCAAAAATGTTAGCAATATAGTGATTGGAAAATTCTGGAGTAGTTGGTTTCATAACAATAGAGAAGGAAAATACTACAATAATTTATAATTACTGAAAATTATGAACATTGCAAAGTGATTTTTAAAAATCTACTTGAATAGGTTTGACCCAGTTATCAAAATGCTTTAAAAAAAGTGAGTATCCCCTCTAGTAGTCTCAGTTTAGATATTCTTCCTCGAGCAAGGTTGGTAAACCGAATATTGTCTTAGCCTCAGGACATAAGGCTACTGTCTCTATACCAACATGAAGGTGCGTGCCTGCAGGTGAGTTTTCAACAATAGCACTGTGTTTTTGCTATCCGAAGCTTACCAAAGTGAGTGAATGTGATTATAGTTTTTTTAGTAAGCTCTCAGAAATACATTTAACAACTTAACTTGTGGCCTATAACAAGGCTTCGTGATGACTTTAAAGCAGGACTAATCCTGGGCTTATCTCCAAATTCCAGGCAACGTTAACAGCATCCACATGGAAAATGTTGAAGTGTGTGAAATAAGCTGGGGCTTAACCTCAGAGATAGGATATATTTGAACCTGACAATTCTCTCAACCCAGTTTGCTTAGATGAATGCAAGTTCAAATTGTGGATCGTGCAGGAGAGTTGCTGACACACTTTCCTAAATGCAAGCATGGAAGTACTGCTGCACGCTGGATGCACTCACACACATTCACACTCGGTCAGTCGCTATTGCCCCTGCTCGTTTCAAACGTCCTCATCGGGAAAGGTAGGGAGTTGAGTTTCATGAAGACCTGTTATGCTCCGCGTACTAGTCAGAGGGAAAATCATAGACTTGAAACTATCCTCCAGTCTAGCAAAGCCAGCCACTAAAAAAATCCAGTGTACTTTTCTGCAGATGGCATGACTAGTTGCTGCCCAAAGTGTGGTCCCCAGGCCAGCAGCATGACATTGAAGCTTAGAAGAAATGCAGAATCTCAGGCCCCATCCAGATAGATCAGAAGCTGCATTTTAGTAGGATCTCTATGTAATTTTTATGCCAATCAGAGTTTCAAAATAACTGTCATATGCTTCAAGTTGGGTTTTTATGATTCAGTGTGTAATATGGGTGCATAAACAGCATAGCTTCAAAAAACTGTGCATATTGTACTTATAGATCTGTAAAGGAAAGGTTGAGATAGAATTTCATGTATTATTTTGCATTTATTATTTCTTTGATAGAATTCAGCATTTTCACAAATTTGTAGACATTTGCTCTGCTTTCGTATGAACTCATTTGATAGCATTTTATGTTCAATCTCACTTTACTGCCATTATTTCCTCCTTTGCCATTTTTCCTTCTTTGTTATACAAATGCCTTTTAACATTTTATAGATATATTTTGCTTTGGAATAATTCAATAATTTTTATGCCAGTGTTTATTAAAATTCATTTCATTTTCAAAACTGAGCTAAAGCTGTTAAAGTATGTATACATTTTGGGGGCACACCCTTTGTGTGTGTGTGTGTGTGTGTGTGTGTGTGTGTGTGTGTGTGTGAAAGCAGTTTCTTTAAAGATCCATATTACCATAAAAATCATAGTCTTCACATGGTTGAGTGTTTATACATTTTTTAAATAGTAGAAATCTTTTCAATCAATTT